AGGAAATTTCGGCTGTGGTGTTTCACAGATGTCGTATACACTTCGACTTTTGCGACAAAACCGCGTTGCGACCGCGCGTGTCCTGTCCAGGTTGACTCAAATGGTTGTTAAGGTTGTCAGATTATAAATGGAAAGTCTGGAAACTTGTGACGCGTCTATAATTTAATACAAATGGAAATTTCGAGGAATTTTTGTTTCGGAAACGATCCAGGCTCTCTCAGGCTGTTCCGATGGGCGGAACAGCGTCGAGCGCTGAGCGAAAGTGTGCATCACGAAAATCAGTTCGTAGCTAATCTTGAACAACCAAGGAACTTTTCAGGCACTTCTCATTCTGAAAGTGACTGGCAAATCCGACTTTCTTCGAGAGGAAGTTGGTCCAGAGAGACAAAAGAAATCCGCCAAAGAATGCTTCTTCCCAAATTAAACAAATTTTTGTTTTAAAATTGCAACTATATAAAATGGGTAGCTAAGAAGCTTCGTAGCACCCTTCCTATGATAGCGACTTCCCAGCAATTTGCCTTAGCCTGGGGGAGCTACTCTCCGGACACTTCCAGCAAGTTGCAAGGAGATCTTCATCTGGAATTCAGACGAAAATCAATTTTGAAGTTCTTCAGGGCGTCCTACTTTCCGATCACACTCCGCGTGGGACGTATATTTGCATAGCACTTTTTTCGCATAATAAACTCGTCATCTTCCCTTGCCTTCTTAGCTTGCACGAGTCATGTCCTTTAAGAAGATGAAGTAAATAAACCAATGAACGATCACACTACGACTACCTGGTAATAGGCGGAGCGTTTAATCACAACTTCAAAACTGCTTGTTGTTGGTCAGGTACGTTACCAGATCAGAGTTTCCGTGTAGGACCCATTCATTCCTTTTCCTAAACCTAATGCACTGATACTTCGCGCGCGGCGTGGCGCGATGCAATCGCGCCTCTTATGTACGGAAACTGGTCGGAAACCGGTTTTATACTATGCGAAGCTTCCTTATAGGGTGCTAGATGGCTTGGGTGCCTTATAAACTAGTACCTGTTCCTTAGCAACACCCTAATGAAAGCCCTTATTCACCTATCGGCTAAGTGCCTCTCAATCTCGCTTATTTCTCAGCTTACTGATAATTTATATAAAGAAAACCGATATTTGAAATCATCGAGAGCTGGAGAACTTTCCTACCGTATCGTTTGCCAGGTGACAGAGTAGGTGATCAAAGAAATCGGTACCCATGATCTCCAATATCGGTTCCTCTCCGGCGGGCAATCAGCCGTTTCTTGTCACTCTACCCAAGGGCGGACTGCTGATGCCAACGATACGAAAGCTCACCTTTCAGGTACGATTACTTCTTTACAGCTTAAAGTTAGGTATCCTGACTATTCAGCACTTGGTATACTAACTTCTGAAAAACTAAGAATTTGTGGAGGAAGTCGAAAAATTCCTTTTCTACGTTTCATAGACTTAACTGGTTACTCATGTCATCTATGGCGATCAATATCCATCAGATCAATATGATTTGTGACGTTTGCTCTAGAAATTTCTATGCCCGATTCGATCTCTGCTCAACTCTGCGCTGGTGGTTCAGCTGTTGACCTTTGACGAGCGCGCTCTTCGCCGTAGCGCCCGTATGGCGGCGGCGGCCCCGTCGTCGACCATCGCCGACTTGCTCTTCTTAAGTTGTTTGCCTTAAACGGCCTACGTTATCTTATCGCTGGTGAATGATCGGCCACGTCTGCTATCTTTACAACCTCCTCGTAAAGCCTGAAGTACTGTGTGATTCCAGAAATTTCCAGCTGAAAATGGATCAATGAACGTTTTTGAAAAAATTAGTGGCTCTTCTGTCAGACGGCAGACAACACTCCGTCTGAGAGGTTTCCTGGCAGATTGCTTGGCGAATACTAGCCTGTAGGCTGTAACCATCCTCCTTTTCCCCCAAACTCAGAGGTTAAGGAGTTTCGGAACCTTAAAAGGTTCCCACTCTTTTTTTTCCGTTGTGTAGACTTCCATATTGAGGTCAGATATAGCCCCTATAGCT